TCACGATGTGGATGAATGCCTGAATAGCTACAATGGACACGTTTACGCAGGCGCCTGTATTCAACTGAGTTTTAGAACGGGCTAATCATGCATACCTCAGAGTAAATCGCCAGCAATAAACGTTCCACTCGCATGTCAATACCTACCATGGATGAAAGATGCGCGTGCCCTCGAGCACTTACCAAAAGGAGCGCAATCAGCTGTAAGTTTCCAATCCAGCTTCTCCTTCATCCATGTCAATACCATGGGACCTACAAGTGGACAGACATATGTATTCAGGGAAAATGTGTTTTTATCCAAGGTTAACCCTCGCCCGTGTAGGGGGAGGTTGGTCAAACGGACCCCCTCTTGGTTTTTCGCGAATAACTCGCGTAAAAAGCGGCTGATCGCGACGAAACTTTCAGTAGGTAACCTCTCGCTAAACGTATAATAGCCGTTTTTACGACGGGCTATTCGGCGAATGCACCTGATTTGACCAAATCTGCACCTAATTTCTTTTACAGCAAATATCTTCATTTTGGCCGTTTTCACGACGGAATAGCAGGCATCTATTTAATCCCGATTTAATCCTTTAGTTCCTCAGGAATTTTAGTAGTTCTTTTTAGTAGGTTCCCCAGCTTTCGAATGAATGGTGCGTTAGTTTGCTATTTTTCTATTAAATATCACATCGATTTACTTTATCTAAGGATATATCACTAATATCAACATTAAGCGTAAGCACAATTATAAAATTATGAAATTATTAAATACTAGTACAATAGTTAAAAAAAAGATACTGAGTTGCCAGGCTACAAAGAATATATTCATTTATGGCGCACGACAGACATTTAGAAAGCAGCGCCCTGTTTTATTGCACGCTGCTAGCCGCTTCCATTGGGTTTTGCAGGCCGACGTCATTGGTCGTTACACGTATGATGTCACGCGACTTGTGGCCTGTCACGGCTCTTTAATGATCTCCACTAAATGAATGCAACAATGGCCTTTTAAGTTGATCTCTGTGGCCATCTGTCTATGGAGCGACCAATATGAAAGTTGGGTGAATTTACCGGGGTTACATGACTATGAGCAAGCAAATGTGTATCAGGAATGGATTTAGGTGGAGAATTGCGCTGTACCATGAGTGCTCGAACGCTCCCAATTCCACGCCGGTTTGGCTTTGGAGCCGAGACAGACGATGCGGGTCAAGGTCACCGCTGGGGTAACGGTGGATTGGCTGCGCCCGAGCACCCGTAACGCGGCACAATTCTCCATCTATGGATTTTCCTATTCGCTCAGCATTGTGATAGGCGTTCGTAATAGCATTTACTCTGCTCATGTACCTATCCCCGGTTATTTAAAAGAAGTTTTTGTGGGGGAATATCACGGCTTTAGGTACTCGGTGGCCCTATTCACGACTTTCAAAGAATGCTCCGATAACTAAACACCGCACAGACCTACTGCATTAGTGAATCTGACAGAAGGTCTGTGGAATTACATCCCCCCTCACCACACCCCTAAAAACTCATCCAGTGTCCAAAACCACTTTTATCGACTCGCAAAAAAAAAAACACACACACACACACATACACACACAAAGCATGGGGCATGTCAGCTCTCAGTTCATTTATCATTGTCTTTACCATGGTTCAATTGCATTGCGCGATTTAAAGCACGTGAGTGCCTATATAGTATATATGTAGAAAATAATATCTACAGCAAAACATCCAAAATTACAAAGGCTACAATGCTTAAAAAGTAGGTTCATCAAGGAAGCCCATTTTTACTTGCGTTGTATTCCCAACCATGCGATTCCAACGCGGGCTATTCGCAACGTCTGTTAAGGCACGTTAACAACTGACAAGCCGCCACCGCTGCCACTTATTCATAGATGGTTGATATCGCAGCTTGGGCGTCAGCAGCGCGGCCCACAACGCGTCGGCGCCAGCGCACGCAGCTGTTGGCACTCGGCAGCCGGTGTTGCGACTTAACGGCCGGCCGGCCCCATGAAGGAGAAGCTCTTGGTGAAGCTTTGTGATCGCCTCATAGCCGCCTTGGATGTCATCTTTCTTGGCAGATCCATCCGTTCAGATGGTGCGGTGCAGTCTGGATAAAGGACGAAGTCCAACGCCGCTAACCCCGCGACCGCCACCCCACAACGTGGCCGCAGACCGAACGGGCGTGAGGGCCGTAAGGGCCACCCCGCCATCCGGTAGGTGGCTGAGCAGCCGGGCGCAGCGGCGCCTGGGCGGCGGCCGCGCTGAGATGAAGTCCCAAACCGCCATGTCGCCATCACCGCCATCACCATTGCTGCAGCTGTTCCCAACCGCCTCAATCGCCGCCGTTTTGCCAGCAGTCGCGCCGCGGAATGGCAGAAGCTCCAGAGTAGCCTCCAGCGCCCCTCTCCGCACGTGTGCAGGTGCACTGCGCCGCCGCCGGGTCCGACGTCCAGGCAGAACATGATATTTCCATGCTGCTCCGACGGTGGGCTGGTCTTGTTTGGGCGTTCCTCCACTGTGACGTCGGTCACGCCTGCCCCGGCCAGGGCGCAGAGGCCGACGTGTCACCATCCGGTTGCAGTCCTCAGTCGGGTCGCAACGTGTACCTCTTCCGCAGCGTGGAGCGCGCTCCCGCTGGGCAGCGATACAGCCAAAAGTAGCATAGCATGCGGGCGGCCAGCGCTGCGCCGGACAGCGGACCCATGCCGGGGGTATGCCGGTCTCGGCCATTAGCGGGGTCGTCGGGGCCGAGGCTGTACATACAGCTGGTGACCGCGTGAGCCGCCAATCGAAGCTCACGGCTTATAAGCTCGACGCGGGCATCACACGCCGTCCCGATTGGAGCTCCACGACGCCGCCGCGAACTCCAGCGCGGCTCGCAGCGCGAAGACCAGTACGGACGGCCGGGGCAAACGGCGTGCGGGAGTCGCAGGCGACGTTCTGCGGACAGAAAGGGTTGGGCATAAGCTGGTCGGCAGGACACTCTTGAGCCGAGCCTTTGATGTAATTACAGATGATCCAGAAGCATGCACAAAAATTCATGACACACTATTCTCATTTATGTATTTGCTACATATGATATGATATACCAGCTCATGATCAGTGACGCATTCTGGGCAATATGTTCTAAAGTGAAGTAACTGAAGTTACAGCTTAAAAGCTTAGAAAAACAGCTTAAAAAAAACACACACACATTCGATAGCTTATGAGAATAACATGCCTTGTGTGCTTAATGCAGGAAAATATTTTTTTTCCACTTTTTTAGAAACAGCAAAAGAGTTGTCAACAAGCCATGTCAACTATCTAAACAATTTTTATGGAAACTGCTCTAGCTAGCTTAAAGTTCCACAACGTTTCCGGAGCACCGTACCCAAACTCAGTTCATGTTACAAGAAAAAACAATAATAATGCCTCCTAATTTTGAATGAAATATAGGTATGAGTAATTTGATTTGGAAAGCAACAAATTTCCGCACATCATTTAAAAAAAAAATTACTATTTTCTTCAGCCATCAGGTTACACAAAACTATAGTAAACTTTATGATCTAGTTTACACAAAACCAAAGCCCCGATTTTAACAAATGTAGATAAAATTTAAACAATTTTAAAAAATGTATCGTGGAGAAAATGAAAAGTGTAGATTTGTAAAGCCGGGATATTTCAATTTCACGGATTAGGCACTTAAAGAAATATCTTCACCTTTCTTTGAGCCACCAGCCTTCACCCAAGTTTTACACGAATGTAGTGAAGCAGACAATGTGGCAACTCAAAATTGTGATGGTTTGAGATAATTATGACGGTAAAAGAAAAAGCAACACAAGGTTCCTTACCCTCGTTTTTTCACATGGGTTCAGATGAGGCTTCAACTGTTGCCGACCTGAGGAGCTATAGGGACTTGAGCTTTCCAAAACTCAATTTCTAAGGGCACTGAGCAGTGTTTGGCTTTCACACGAATGCGATAGTAAGTTATATGAAGTTGACAAAGCAAGCAAAGCAAAGCATGATGCCCCGCGCGTCCGCCCGCGACCACGCCCCGCGTCCGACTCCCGACCGCCGCGTGACCCGAGGCGCCCGGCGGTCACGTGACCTACCGGCCGGGACTGCAAACGGCCTTCACCACCATTCTTGTATGACGTCATATCCTACTGAGGTGCTGATTGGTCGGAATTAGATACCTGAAGGTAATTATCTGCCGTAGTTATTTTTGTTTCATTGTTTTGCGTGTTTTCTTATATGAAATGTAATTAAAAAAATTGTCATATTTTAATCACCATTAAAACATAACTGAATAGGTATAAAAGAGAACTCGATATATACTTTCCTTGTTTTTAAGAATTCCGGAATTAGATACCCGAGGGAGCAAAGAGGGAGCAAGTTGCCACGCTGATTTAATACCTCATAGTCGAAAGGTGGGCTACTAGAACCAAAAATTGCTGTGTTTGTAAATAAATAAGTGATTTGAGGGCAAAAAATGCCCGGATTTAAACTTCTAAAATTATTTTGAACATAAAATATTTCAGTTTGAGGGATGTTAAGGCCTCTAAGGGTAGGTACTTTTTAGGTATCAAATAAGTTCCTCTGCGAAAGTTCCGTCGTGAAAACGGCCTTATGGATTTATTTCAGTGTTTTAATCGATGATGCTCTCTGATAATATGACAAAGCAGGCATATAAGCAATTAGTGCAACCCTAGCTGATAGCTGCTAAGAGACACACTGAACCTGATTTGACCAAATCTGCACCTAATCTGTACCAGATGTGCACCAAATGTGTACCAGATGGCCGTCGTGAAAACGGCTATTATGTGCTTCTCCTGGGGGCTAGCTTTATGTCATTCTTTATTGATCATCCTCTACTTAACTATTTTATAAACAAAAAGCATTTAGAGTTAAATGGTGCCGAGCTCTGGTTTATTGAGGGACAGTACAATCCTAATCTACGTAGTTGTCAATATTGAGTCATGAAAAATCAAACCTTGATGTTTTGTCGACATTGGCTGTATAATGTTTTCTTTTTCTTTTTCCCAGGTAAACATAACTGCAGGCAGGACGGAAGTCGTCTCTATAGAAGATGATGTTGAAAAAGTGCTCGCCTGTGGCGCTAAATACATGTGAGCTATTCCGATTTCTGAGTTGGTGAGGATAATTATTGTAGTGCTGAAACGAGTATGTAGAGTGTACTTACCGTCTATGCTGATATAAGGGTCATAATATGCGGAGCTTCATTAGCACAGAAAAGTGGCTAGGAATATTTTGACTTACGATGTCAGCAAAAGCAGGCAAACTGAATCAAAATAATGGCACTACTGATAGTTATGCTTTCAACATAAAACTTGAGTTCGGATATTTACTTCCTTCATTTTATTTATTGGAATAAGGAAAATATCTTTATTTCTTAAATGAGTTCGGAGACAAAATGTTTGCTACACTCTGGACCAGCCTTCATTATTCACAACTCGCAGTGAACTCATAGAAGTCGTCAACTGTTTGCGTATGCTTTTACAACATTGTGACTATATATATATATATATATATATATATATATATATATATATATATATATATATATATATATATATATATATATATATATATATATATATATATATATATATATATATATATATATATATATATATATATATATATATATATATATATATATATAATATCTGTATTGAGTATATTTATTTCCAGGCACTCTGTTCTTTTCAGGTACTACCTGTCGTCTCGGACCGACCGGCCGGGACAGCGGCACCTGTTTCGTATCCCAGCAAACCTTTCTGCCGCTCCCCACTGCATGACCTGTGACCTGCCCCGTGACGCCCACCCACCTCTTTCCCACGACTGCCTCCATCTCGATGCCCTATTCACTGAAAACGCTCAGCACTACGCGATTCTTTGCGAAGGCCCCGCGGTGCCGCACGTCACTGCAACTTCTGTCGGTCGATCACAGGTGGCGCTGCTGCGCAACAACTCTGCGTTACGCGCGGACGTCGCTGCTGCCAGCCTGGCACCCGTGCGACCATTGTTTGTGCCGCTGTCTGCGGGAGGCCGGGCGAGTGTGCGTCTCACCGTCCCTCCCCAATACCGCGAGACAGATCTTGTGTCATACTCCCTGCTGGTGCGCGTGGCGTTTGACCCCAGCGAGCCGCCGGGAGCCGACGGGGTCGCCTGGTCAGTCGACTGGCCCGCCTACCTGGCGTCGCAGCGGCAGACCGTTGTCGCCGATGTGACCCTTCCGGTGCGGTCTACCGGAGAGTGGAGCCCGGCGTCGGATACCTCCTCTCTGCGCGAGGTGGTTGAGGGTCTTCTCTCTCAGCTGAAATTTGTTGATGCACAGCGAGTGGCGGTCGAAGGTCGAGGACTTGGAGCGCTGCTGGCGCTGCGACTTCTGGCGCAGCCGGCGTCTGTCGTCTCCTGTGCAGTGGCCTTTGCGCCCATCACCTCGTGGCACAGCTATGGTAAGGACTGAGTGACCCGTACCGGCATCTGCTGCATGATGCGCGTTCCTTAGCAAATTACTCCGCGTAACTCAAATTTCTAGTGATTGGAATCAATTATTCATTTTTAAATTCGCTTGCTGTTATCGTTTCATATTTCTTGGAAAAATAAGATAAATAGAAACTAGTAGCTTTACGGCCAGCATAATCTCATACAGAAAATTCAAGTAAAGAGAGGCCATACAATGACTTGTTTATGTGTTACACCAATTCTGTCACCCTCTCTCTCTCTCTCTCTCTCTCTCTCTCTCTCTCTCTCTCTCTCTCTCTCTCTCTCTCTCTCTCTCTCTCTCTCTCTCTCTCTCTCTCTCTCTCTCCTCACTAGCATCAGCATTTAGCGAACGACGCCTGGGGCTTTTCGCCGAAAGCCAGCTTCGCTACTCGGCTGAAAACTTTGACCAATGGGCTGGACACTTAGCCGGCAAACGATTCCTATTGGTCCACGGGTCTGCTGACACACTGGTTGGCGTCGAACAGACCTTCAGACTGTCCCGCTGGCTGCAAACTGCTGGGATTCTATTCACGCAGCTGGTAAGCATTATCATAAGGAAATGTAGCCACAGCTATCTAAGAGTATAAGAATCTTGGCCACAACTACCGTCACATGAAGCCAGGCATTGTTTTTACAACTCAGCTTTACAATGTTGATTGTATATTTTTTTCCATGCAGAGCTTGGCATCCAACTTGTTACAGGTGACTAAAAAAACAACACACAGGATCGTAATTTCATTTGGTTGCCATAGTTACAACTAAACTGTGTTTGTAAATCGTAAGGTCGTCAATGTAAATAACATTTAGCGCGCTTCTCTTTTCTCCTATAGGTTTACCCGGATGAAGGTCACTCGATGGACGGTGTCACAGAGCACCTGTACCGCTCTCTGGATCAGTGGATCCACGACTGTCACGACTCTGACAGAGTGACAGAGCTGACTGATACCAGCTAGCGAGTGCCTGCATAGACTTGCCAGGGACTTGGTGAACCGGCTGAAGGAGTGAGCGGTCCAGCGGTATGGTTTTTGTGACCCATTCTAAATGAAAAAATAAGACTTCTAATGTTTGGTGGAATGTGAAAAGTCATATATTATAACCGTTCAGACAGCCATTGTAGTGCAACAATTTTTGTCTTTTTGTGCTGCCAAATGAACCGACACAAAGCCAAGCGTATACGATAGGAGCCCGGGAGGAGATTCAAGCACCCGCGAACCGACGAATCCACTATATAGCCCTATATACCCAAATAATAAGTTGCCGGTCACCGTTGCAAACAGACTTCCTGACCATTGTATGGGAGCATGCGTGTATACGTATTACGTACATAAGTACGTACTCTGAATGCCTGAGAGCTTAGTTAGCTGTGCGACATGCGTAAGTATTCGCGATCAATTGTGTTATCGACAGGACAATACGGATTATAATAGCCGTTTTCACGACGGCCATCTGGTACACATTTGGTGCACATCTGGTACAGATTAGGTGCAGATTTGGTCAAATCAGGTTCAGTGTGTTTCTTAGCAGCTATCAGCTAGGGTTGCACTGCACTAATTGCTGATATGCCTGCTTTGTCATATTATCAGTGAGCATCATTGATTAAACACTGAAATAAATTCAAAAAATGAAGATATTTGATGTAAAAGAAATTAGGTGCAGATTTGGTCAAATCAGATGCATTCACCGAATAGCCCGTCGTGAAAACGGCTAATATCGACAGTATATTTCGGATAAGTTCCCTAGTCAGCCTTTAATCGTTATCAAGCTTTTTATATGAATATTCATTTTAAAATCGTAATTCGAACATTGCCAAATGTATATCGAAAATAGAGGAAAGTGATGCATTGAATCCGGACATAAGTATATGTGTTGATAATTGTATCGCTTTTGTGTGTCACATAAAGTTTTAACATCATTTAGATCGGGTGCACGGGTAACATAAATGAAGGAAATGCATACTTGGCGTTACACTAGTCAGAGGCGGATCCAGCTCAGAGTTTTTTTTTTTGGGGGGGGGGGGGGCAAACCATAACAGTTTATCGATTCTTTCCATGCATCGTTTATAGGCGTAATGCTAAAATTATGCCGTTTGGGGGGAGGCAAATGCCCATTTTGCCCCCCTGGATCCGCCACTGACACTAGTATTTATGTAGTGCTGTAAATTTGTTGCAACGCTGAACATTGATAGCCTTGCAATGATTCCTCATAGGAAACACGTCCAACTTGCTATCTTGGAGGATATTCCAACATTCCACAGTCAGAGCTCGAACTGATCATGAGATTGGGCCATGTCCGTACACAATGTCGATGCTTTTCTGTAATCAGTGAAATATATTTGATCTATGTTTTGTATTGTGTCGGTTAACCTGGGGACACTGGTCATTCGTCACGGACACTTGCTCATCAATGCTTGCTCCTTTATAATATACACATCTTGGGACCTCGATGTCACGTTTTGCTTTTTGGCGTCCGAAATTATTATTTCAGCTCCGCCTTCTACTTTGCGTAGTAAAATTCAAATGTGCAGATATGTTTACCTGCGCAGTATCTGACTTTCATCAGGGAAATCCCATCGCCCTGTGACATCTCTGCACACCGATATCTGACATTCCAGAGCGGGCCAAACCAGCTCGTCAGCTTTATAAACAAACTACCCGGCCAGCCGCTGCGCTCCGTCGGCGCTTCTACGCAGTGTGGTCCCAGTCAGACCCGCTGGTGACCTGTGTGAGACCCGGGAGCGCTGCCACCATGGGGCGCGGCGCTTCACGATCTCTGAGGCTGGCAGCATCGTTTTCGTTACTGCTGCTGCTGCTTGGTGTGTTCTGCGCTCCGACAGAGGCCTTCGTTAGTGGTCAAAAGAAACGACAGGAAGTGGAAGATGTGCTCACGGAACAGCTGTTTGCCGTCAACAACATGCTGGGTAGCATACAGCGTCACGTGAAACGGCTGGACGACTGGGACGAGGCCGTGGGAGGCCTGGAGTCGCGCCTGGATGACCTCAGTGCCGGCCAGGAGGCCGTTTCGAACCAGGCTGCCGACGCGCTGCAGCGAATGGAGGCTCTCTCCGAGACCTCCTCTGAGGCGCTCTCCGAGCTGGGTGGCGTGATGACGGCGCAAGAGAGCACGGCTGACGCGCTGGTCACTCTTCGTGATAACCTGACGCAGAGTGTGGTCGCCGTGGCCGAGTCCGTGTCCGGCCTGGCGAGCTCCCAGGCTGCCGAGCACAACGAGACACGCAGCGCGTGCGGTGACAGCGGCGGCGCGGCGCTGACGGAGCCGCTGACCGAGCTGCGGGCTGCCGTCGGTCAGACCACCGAGCTGGTACAGCGCACAGAGGAGACACTGGATGATGGCCTACAGCGCGTGGACAGCCGCCTTCAGGAGACCGGCGAGCAGCTTACTCAGCTCGGCCAGGAGGTGCGCGACGAGCGTCAGACGCGACTGACCCCCACTACACCGCGGCCGACCGTGGATCCGCTGCAGACGTTCCTCGACGCGCTCAAAGCCAGTTTAAACGAGCAGAAAACTAGCCCACCCAAATCTGCAACCCCGAGCATGAACTATGATTGAAGGATGTTTCACGCGAACGCCATTTTGCGAGCACAGACTGACTCACAATAAACGTACCACCGACGCTGGATGATGAGGTTTTGAGTATTGAAGGAGTGAGAGTATGAGGGGAAAGGGGTGGATAAGTGTTGCCTGTTGGCACACTCAGGGCAAAGTCATATCAAGCGTTCTTGCTTGTTGCAACAATTTCTGAAGCAATTACTAGCTTATACGTTGACATACATTTGCTTACTGTTGGATATTGAAGCTTATACCTACGCCTGAGCCTGAAATCAATAACTCGTCTTCGCTGCACGTGTCGTCCGCAACCTTTTATCCGCCGTTTCTATTCAAATGTCATCCACGATGCAGGATACTCCATTTCGCTTGGGCTGACGTCGGTAATATGATGACGCCTTCTATTCACATGGCAGTCAACGAGGCAAGCAGTTTGGCGGATACCTAGTAATGATTGACAGGAAAGCAAATGGGAGATGCGGGGTGGATGCGCTGGCTAACGCTATATATGGACATAATTAGGAGCTGAGCTCTCTCAGTCTGCCTGGAAACTCACCTCAGGAACGTTCGCTCGAGCGCGAGGCGGTCTCAAATAAAGGGTAAGGAGCGAGTTTGCTTGAGACCTCGACCTGCGTCTGAGGAGCATTCAATCGAACGGTTCGCGGGTGCCATCTGAAGCAAATATTAGGAACGTATTCAGAAATCAAGTGGATAATTTTCGCCGCGAAGGAACAAGGCATTGGTGTGCTGAGGACAAGTGCTCCACGGTTAAGACTTTGTCGACTGTGGTAAAACACAATTTCAAGACTAGGCAACCAGCCCGTCATCACCGTCTTTCAAAATGTTCGAATCACTTCGAGTCGGCATTTCGGCTCTGCTCTGTTTGGTGTTCGCGGTGCCGCTAGCTATCATAGCCAAGAATCGCGAGCTCCGCGAAGAGCCGATGGTCATCCTGGTGTTGAACATGACGGCATCGGCGCTACTCTTTAGCTCCACCTTTGTGGTCGTCTCCGTAGGCGACATGCTCACCAGCAACGACATACCGCCACTGCTGTGCTGTCTGTTCGTGGCAGTAGGAACCAGCTCCCTCGGCGCCTTCAAGCTGTCCGCCCTTTTCCTGGCCGTGGAACAGTTTGTCGCGGTGAACTTCTCGCTCCGGCACTTTGCCATCATGAGTCGATGGGTGAAGCGAATGATCTGCTTGACTGTGATATTTTGGGTGGTAAGCACACTGTTCGGCATCATCTGCTACCTGCTCGGGCTGGAAACCATTGAGGAATTCGATCAGCGTATGTTCAGTATTCACAACCATCACGAGCAATGCAAGTGGGAAAGATCAGCCAACATTTTCATGTTCTACAGTGAAAACTGCATGCTTGCCTGCTGCCTTGGAACATGCGCTCTCCTAATTCATACGGCAGTCCAGGGAATGAAGCATCAGAAAAGAATTTCCCAAGAAAATGGCGGCAATACCTCACTTTTGTTCATGGTGCGGTACAAGTCCTTCAAGCGCATCGTCAAGGTCTTGCTAACCATTGTGATCATCGACCTCGTTGGAACTGGCTTCCGAGTCGCCTCACGCTGGTTCGTTCAGTCTCCTGTGTTCACAATCGTACACTACCTGCGTATCCTGTTTCTCATCATCGAGTGCTGGACCTATGGGCTCAGTCATTTGACTATTCGCAACGCCATGAAGTCGTTCTTCGGATTCCGCCAGAACCGGGTGGTCCCAGATGAGACTGAAGACCAGCAGCCTGCGCCAGAGTCACAGCACGACGACCAGAGAGAAATGGACGAGGAATCTCACTGAATCAAAACAGTTTTAACTTTTATAGGCTATTGGAACGAAGGGAAATCTGATTTAGGGACGGCAATATCTCCAGCTGTCCATGTCTCGTTATCTCAATAACTCATTTTTATGAAATGTGAAGAAAAAGTCAATGATATCGAACGTATTTAACCCTCGCACCGACGGGGGGGCGGATATCCGCCCCCCCTGAGGTTTTTCGCGAATAGCGGGAAAACCGCGGCGCGTAGCGCCGCGAAATTTAGTATGACTATAACCTCATCAATTTTACACATGGTATGCAAGTTTGAACCTCCTACCTTTTAAGGTCAGGTCACCAGGTCACTTTGAATGACCCAACCTCAAGTCACTTTTTTGCAACTTTGTCACCGTGCCAGAGCTACAGTAGATGTCGGAGGCCTTTGAAAGTCGCAGGATATTATTAGGTCATTAGTAGCTACAATTTGTATATCTCGGAATTTTGATATCGGTGACCTAAGGTCAGGTCAATTTCGCGACCTCCCCATTATAAGTCAATGGGGGAAAAATCAACTCCCTGTTTTTACCACTAAAACGGGTCGGAATGGCCCCATATACCATACATGACTTCATATACGATCAACCTTCACTACCTTGAGGTCTGTTTTGCTGTTGGGCAGCTTTGAGGTCATGTGACGTCATCAAAGGTACCAAAGGTTTTTGGCCAATAACTCCGTACAGGAACAAGATACAGACGCGTGGATGGTCTCATTGTGTTCAGCTCGTCAAGACGCATCGAATGATATACATGATGACCTCGAGGTCACGTGACCTGAGGTCAACCTTTGACCTTGACCTTTCGAGGTCAACATATATATCATTCGATGCGGATTGACGAGAGGATCACGATGATGCCCTTAGTTTGTTCCTATCTTGACTAATTCGAAAGTTATTCGAGAAAAACTCTCTCCATATCTAGCGCCGCCATTTTGACTTTTTCGACCCCTGTGACGTCATCTTTGACCTGACCTGAAAATGACCTTAGTAAAAATTGTAGATCTTGGCCGTGCGTATCCGATGCCGTTTACCGCTTGTCGCTATCTTGCTTCGTTCTCGAGATCTCAGGGGGGGGCGGTCATCCGCCCCCCCCCCCGTCGGTGCGAAGTTGGCGCAGACCCCCGTCGGTGCGCGGGTTAAGAAGCGCACAGATTAGAATTTCGGAAGCGTAGCGATGGGTAGGTACTTACATACGAGAGACCCGCTGCTGAATTCATTCACTGTGCTATTTAAACAGCTCTGTTTGATCATTGTCTTCGTGATCCTTCATACACATGCATTTTACAGAACGCACTGCGCGATCCCACGATCAGCGCTCTGTAGTTGATTGGTAAGATGGCTTTACCTCAAGTTGAAGTGTGGATCGGAGGAATGCATATTGCATAGTCGAGCTGTGCCCGATAAGGCGCATAGATGTGGAAGTTTGATTGTTCGGAGTTCGGACCCTCGCTGTTTAGAGCCGTTAGGCCGATACTCGATGCAGACAATCGGACTTGCGGCCGCCGTAATTGCTGTCGCCTTTCACCCACTACGGTGAAAAATTGGAACACTACGCTTCGCTCAGTGTCTGATGCCACAACGCGACAGCACTAAACTACTCAGTCGTAAATAGCAATACCGCCACCAATTGTGTAACTACATATGTTAGGTAGTGGTGCATAATTTTATTGTTTTGCTGTGCTAGGTCGCTTTGATGTGCCCAACCCTAAGGGTAGAGAGGAATCGTAATGTCGCTCTCTTTAGGTATATGGGACAGTGTTAATTAATGGTAATGTGCGTCGAACGCTTGTTTTAAATGGAACTCTCGCTGTCGGCTCTGAAATATATTTCCTGCACCATTTCGCGGAAAATATACAAAAAACTTGCCTCTTAATCATAAATCAGTGTCGTTATTAAACTATTTGATAAATGATCGGTGCAAACATGGTTATCCTTTACCTAGCGGTCGCCCTACTCAGGCAGCCGGTGCGGAAGAACCTCTGCAGCAGGACCTCCGCAATGCCGTCATTTGAGCAGCTGGGGTCCTGCTGGTCCCACCGCGGCATATGATGTGGGACAGGCTCAATGCTACAGCGCTCTCACCGCCGGTAGAATCGGTCAAATGACACTGAATGCATGGTTGAAATAATTTTTTATCATGTGGCTTGGTCGAGAAGACCCTGATCCTTGGCTTACGCTCACAATCACCCATAAAATGGTCAAACTGCATAATTAGACCAATAACTAGTATCCAAACAAAATAACGCCTTGAAAAAAAAAACGGTGCAAACTGGAACCAGTGAACAGTGCCTTTGCAGCTTTTGTTCTAGCAGCACTAGGCCAACACGCGACTCAAAGCTTACAAGCCGTTTATTTCCGACCTCATAGAATATCAGGATACACACACAAAAACATTTCATAGTTTACATAAGTGAAGACCGCTGTCAGCAAATATTCATACTAATTATGCGCATTACGTAACTTTATCGTCTGTTTTATAAAGTAAAAAATCTGTTTTAGCAGTAGCGGGCGCAGCGAGTGTGACTTTTAAGCCCGGTTCGGGACGCACAGTCCGGGGAACACTGAAGAGCGGCGTTTCAAGCCCTGTTTGGGGCGCAGAGTCCGGGGAACACCGGGGAGCAGTGGGTGCCGGGAGGGCACCTGGAGCACGGCGGTCCCCGCTGATAGACGGGATGGTCCACCACGTTACCCACGCCGCCGTAGTTGCAGAAAATGTCCGTCTGTAAAAACAACACCTTCGTCAGTTTCAACTGGAATTGGCGGGTGATTCGAATAGTTAACGGTAATTGGGAAGGATCGGTGAGACCAGATTTTCTAGACAGAGACTCAAATGCTGTTTTTTTCAATAGGTCCGGCAAATAAATATTGGCTGTGTTTAAACTAGTGTATTTTTGACCGTGGTCAATTTGTTGAAGACAGTTTGCTTCCACACCTCTCTGGCTTATGTATTTGAATTGCCCAGACGTACATAAAACTTTCAAAATAAATTCGTTGTCAGCACTTTTACTGATTCAGCCTAATCATACACTTTATTATTATAATCTGTGACGAGGCTTTATTATCACCTGTTCATTTCATGTCTAAGATCATATTTAACCCTCGCCCCGTTGGGGGGGGGGCCATTTTGGCCCCCCCCCTGTGGTTTTTCCTGAATAGCAAGAAAACGGCGGCGCGCAGCGCCGCCAAATTTTCAGTACCTTTTCGGGCATCAATTTGACACCTTCACACCAAATTTCAAGTCTTAGGTCACCTTAGGTCAGGAGCTATTGAGGTCAAACTGAGGTCATGTTCGAGCAAAAATGAGCAAAAAACATGCAATCTTGAAACGCTCACCAAATCTACAGTTATCAAGCAATTTCAAAGTTCTTTATATGGTCTAATAGACAAAAAGCGGCGCTACAAAACTGCTATCTCGGATTTTCAAAATTTTGGGTTTTTGACCCAAAAAATTTCAAAAAATTGATTTTTTTAGAAAAACTAAAAACAAATCCAAAATTTTTCCGAATTTCGAAAAAAACCGGAATATATGTGATAGTCCCTGCGCTCTTCTATATACATACCAAATTTCAGATCGATATCTCGTTTTTTGGCCAAGTTATAGCGAAAAAACTGTTTAAAAATGATGACGTCAAATTTTTGAACTCAATTTTTAGCGATTCTAGAACTCGTACGGCAAAACAAAGACCACCATTGAACTCCCCGTGACGAGCTGCATCGATTCGATACCCATTTTATGCAAAAATATCAACTTTGAAATTTGACCTAATTTGACCTGACCTTGACCTGACCTTGACCTGACCTTGACCAAAACGTGACCTAAGCTGGCCCCAAAGGCTGCCTGACCCACATAATCGCATTTGTCATGTAAAATGGACCATAAAACATGTATCACACGACACTTTCATATTGTGACCCCCCAGTGACCTGACCTCAGTGACCTGACCTGGTATCAGTGACCTCAACTAGCAAAATATGTGTTTGAAGAACATTTCCCCATCGATGATTTTCAATGAAATGCATTTTACTCGATTTTACAACGCATTTCTTGAAATGCCTGTAAACGGTGAAAATTGGACCTTTGACCTGACCTGTGACGTCATCGGTTTGACCTAGGTCAATAAAATTGGGTCACAAGGTAGTTCCCTGATAGGGCTATCCAACACCGTTTGCCGCTTGTCGCTACGTTGCGTGGTTCTCGAGATCTTAGGGGGGGCCAAAATGGCCCCCCCCAACGGGGCGCGTTGCTCGGCAGAGCCCAACGGGGCGCGGGTTAAAGCTCATGGAGCAATGAAAGCGGGCTATCACTTCGCAATAATTATATTTGGTTTAGTCAGGAACACAAACGACCATGTTAAAATCTAGGGTTCGAAGTGATTAAAGAGTGAAAAAATGTAGCTTACTCGTATAACTGGGTCGTTGTTCATGATCATAGTCCGTGCCAGCACGCCGCAGCCAATGGCCCTCGTCTTTCCCCACACCATCTGTGTGAAGTGTCCTGCATTGGTGCTCCTGTGAACATACACGCACACACATACGTCACACAAAATTATTCATCCGATCGATCTTTTTAAGCCTTGCTATGTTGCAACGGCACCAGCCATGCACCATGCAACGGCACCAGCGGACGCTCTATTCCAGAAAAAGAATGTTGGAAAAATAGCCGATTTTTGTTTAAATGCCACGAACAGCTGCCTATCACACATGTAACATCTATAATTACTATGTATATACTGTGCAATACGATAAAAGAATCGACCTTGTAAGTTGTCGTAAATAAACATTAAGCATTAAAAATTATGAAATAACTCATGAATTTCTCGGATTTTATGTAAATCTTTGGTATGCTAACTATTATTTGCACACACTTAGCGTTCAGTGCCTAAGGAGCAAACGTTTTCCAGAATGCTTATAACAAGGTATAACTCACCGCCACATATCGACTGCCCTCCGGGAATAGATGCGCACTTCTCGGTACCATTCGCCGATCACGAATTTCAATTTTTTGTCAATCTCAGAAATGTCGAAGTGGTAGGCAGATCCGAGATTTTGGCCAACACCATGGAACCGTTCTGGTGAAAGAAAAACATAAACTTAACAATATGTGGGCGAACAGCTCTTTGCAAAGCGGTAAGCATTGGTATTATTTCTAATTCGTTATTTGTTCGCAACAAATGATCTATCCATCTCTAGTTTGTTCAATGCGTTATGCAGCTGACATTAGTGGGTTGTACGGACCTCCAGGTATTTAGTGGTTGGTTGCCAACATCACAATAAGCGATCTGCATTGATGAATACGTCTAATGGCTGTTGAAAACCATTGCCGAGTTGTGTGCACGAACTCTCTTCTTATTTCTATTGAGTCATTTTACAGGAGTGTCTCTGTCATTCAAAGTTATTGCACCAAAAGCACATAGGCTAACCGACCACTCCTTTGCTGGAGGGCCGTACGCTGTTGTCAATTCACACTCTTACCGGTCTTCTTGCAGTCACCGCAGTCATGTAAGAACTTGCATTTTTCAACGTGAGCTTGGGCGATTTCGGCAAGCTCGTCGTCCCATTCCTGCGAAAGGTGCGCCAGTTTCAAAAAATGCACATTTCACATGTTTTAGTAATCTCTTGTGAAGCTTCAGTCTTATTACTGTGCATAACTACACAGAATCAATATTGTACGGAGAGACATATTCAAAGCCGATTGATTATCTTTAGCCGATTAACATCAGCTGTCTGTCAAAAGGGTAACATTGTAGGAACATTTTAGCCTGTTAGAAACAGATGAGCGTATACCCCGCAATGGGTTTACTTTCACAGATCGATCGATGAGACGACTAATACTTACTAGCTCTATCATATCGGCTGCAGGGGGCAGAAATCCGTCGAAGCCCTGGACGTTACCCCTGGCCACCTGACTACGGATCACGTTGTGCATCTCGAGCACATGCTTCCGCTGCTGAAGAGTCGTACCGCGCCACAGCAGGCGGCCACAGCTGGAGGACGGCGGCTTCCGGTTGCAGAGCTGGTGTTCTTGGCTCAGGCGGCAGTAGTGCTGTGGATGGCGCACGTGCTGGCAGAGGGCGGGGAGCACGCAGAGCAGGAGCACGGAGAGGAGATGGGTGATACGGCCCATCACGACAGGGGAGAGAGGGGTGAGCTGTTCACGGGGCGGCTGCTGAAGGCAGAGTGACAAGAGGGGACGCACGGAGTGCCACCCTAAATCAGAAAGGGAAAGTGAAGGCGCGCGATGGGGAAAGAATGGTGGAGGAGGGGAGAAAGGGTTGTTTTTGAACTTTTCCTTTCCGCGGATCGCGATCACATCTCTGTCCCTCTCGGTGCCGAAAACGGCGGCTAAAACTAGGGCACAGATCTGCTGTCGCTTTGTCCGTCAGCGGGGTGGGGGCGGTGTTTGTGAGAGGGGGAGCCGTAGCAGTAGCATTTCAATGCAGTCCATTTCTAGCTGAGACCACAATATCGGGGACCGGCCGACGCCGGCAGCTCCAGTACTGAGAGATATGAAAATCGGTAATCAATTTGTGGCATAGATGCAATAAATGCAAATGCATGCAAAGATGCCACCTATATTTTGATTAATTTCTTAACTATTGCTGATTTGATCATTCCTTTCATTAATTACTTAACCCTCGCCCGCAAATAGGGAGGGTGGTTGCCACCCCCCGGGAGTTTTCTGCTCTACACTCAACATTTTTAGAGCTAGAACTGCTAGAAGCCTGATTTTTCGTATAGCTGCTCCTCTATCCTTTCTTGATGTCAACTAAAAATTTCAAGTTCCTCTGGTTTTTGGTTTCGGAGATATGACCTTGTTTTTAGGTCATGTCATGACCCAACTGAGACTGACCAATTCTCAACATCTTGCGTTAGCTATGGGGCCTTGTGAGCTTTTGACACATTGATTTCGGCCTTTTTTGCCAGTCTTACCTCCCACCTATCATGGAACATGTTGTTCGACGATGTACAGATGTCAAGGTCAGGGTCAAGGTCAACCTAGGTCATCTAAAATAATTGCATTTACTGCATTTTTGGTAAAAGCTTCTCACATCATGATTTCATGTAATATGGACACATAAACAACCGGTGCACACATCAGTATACACACAGACACACACAGACATACAAATTACAAACACATATCATTGACCTTGAGTCCTTGACCTAACTTGACCTGAAGTGATCTCAGCAGCAAAAATATGGCCGGGTAGTGTGACAAAGAGGTTCTAGCTGGCTTGGTACCAGAAAACGGCATCATCATCGGTATAGGACAAGCAGCGCACTTGATATCCAACGGTGACCCAAAACAGCAACATTTTTTAGTTTGACCTGATCTGGAAGGTCAATGACTGACCTGAGAAGGTAAAACTGGGTATCATTGGATTTGTCTCTTCCCAAAGAATCTTTTTCATCTTTACCGCGAAGCTCTATCTCCAACAGGAACGCAATGGCGCGCGGGGGGGGGGGTGGCACCCCCCCATGTGCGTTCTAGTCTAGAATGGGAAAATGGCATGTGCGGGCGAGGGTTAACGAATCTTTTGCGTGACATTTTGGTCACCTTAAATGCTCCTTGAGCCTCTCTTGCGAAGGCTGTCAAAAATCACATCAAAAGTAATTCGGTCATATAGGTCATATTAGGTCGTATGATTATGAACACTAATCAAACTATATACATACTTGAGTTGAAATATCCACATGTCAATATGAGCTTTGGCTTGCACTGTTTGTTAATGTTTGTGGCGCGTTGTCGGTCCAGCTGTGTGGCGGCGCTCCATGTTTGTTTGTCTGTTTGTGCTGCAGTGTTTGACAAGGATTGGATAATTTTTTGGGAGGGGGGAGGTGCATATATATTCACTTGTCGAAAAAAGGCTAATCATATTGGGGATTGGTTTTATTTCGTGCTTCTACATATATTTCATAGATATTTCATCATCAGCTGTATATTTCATCATCGCCTACCCACTTCACATTACTATAAGCGGATGCTTTTCATGTCCTCACTTTGCATGTTTAGCGAGACGGTAGGTAAGGCCCATTCGCCTTCGGAACGAATTATTAAACGTCTTTAATGAAGCATACGTATACTGTAGTATTATTTGCATCTGAAGTCTAACATCAGTAAAATTGCAAATTGTATAGAACTAAGACTGTCGTACATCATGTGTACGAATTCGATCTATGGTAGGTCAGCACCGTTTGAAAATCCACTTCCAGTAAACCAGTCACTCATTCGAAATTGCTCGTCAAACGTTGACAGAATGACTTCTAGATCGTGAGGAGCATTCGAACTGATGGTCCAGTAACCCATATCAAACGCCGTATAGAGCTGCTGCTTGTACACCTGGAAACCTTCACCGTCCTCGACCGAAACTACTCCATTGCTGACTTTGATAACGAAAATCTTGAACACGGTCGGCTCAATCCTATACGCCGCGGCGACTCGTGAGTGCTCGCGCGCGTTCTGTCCGACACGGACCTCATGGGTGCGGTAGGAGGGCATGCCGGAGTGGGCCACGAACACGGTGACTTGGCGCGTGTGGCGCAGGCGATCGGTGAACCGAACGACGAGCTGGCTGCTGCCACGGACGGCCAGCGTCACCGACGCCGAGCCGGAGATCGACGGCAGTCTTCTCGTGATCATGACGTCAGAGAGGGGGAGAAACGGCGCGGGCCGCGAGTCGTTGTAGAAGGTTTTGTTGAACATCCACGGATCAGCGATACCGCCCTGGAACTGCCAGAACACTACAGATTCGCCGAGACTTCTCAATAAGACTTCAGTGACATCACCAGACATGTTATAGTTGAGATCGTCAAAGCTGAAACTATCCGCTTCTGAAAGACGGGTGATGTTTAATTGCCAGGAGCACCAACTGATACGGTATGAAACGTAGCCCGTAGTTGAGAGTGCACCAGACAGTTCCTTGGTGTAAGGTGGATTCTTCGGTGTCGTTTCCCTGAACTCAAGCATGTCCGGAGATATTTTGAATGTGGCAGTGCCAATGGACAGCGTCACGGTGACAAATGCATTGGTAGGAAGGGCTTCAACGAGTACACGGAAGGTCAGAGCGCATACGCCGGGAGCGGTGAGCTTTTTCAGGTAGTCCGGCATTCCAGTTGTGACCCATGTGATGTACGGAGGGATGACCAACGTGTCCAGGACGGGCCAGTAGCCCTCCGGCGGGTGACAGTGGGTGTTCCGACACATCCATCCCGCCAGCGTCGGCTGCAGACCCTGGCACTGCGAGTCCACCTTGCAGTGCTCCTTTATCGAGCTGGTCTGGCACGTCTGGTGGCAGTAGCCGTTCTCGACACAGAACTGTTGATTGTAATCACCATCCGACGAGCCGGCGGTAATCATCTCCAGGTATCTGACTGCCCCATCAGACTCGAGCGTGGCGTTGGCGGTCTCGCAGACCCGCTGTGGCAGAAGCTCACACTCTGCCGGGCCGTGGTTGACGGCCTTGCAGCCGGGATGGGCAGTGCAGGCGGCGGCACAGCCGATCAGTGACGGCATCGTCACCGTCCGCAGAGGCTCCAGGCCGACGGCTCGTCGCTGCTGCCTGTACCGGCCACCAAACAGTGCCCCAACGGCAGCAGACTCCAGCCCGATGGTGACTTCCGCCAACGCTAACAGCATCAACATCTGTAGATAGGGATGCCGAGGCACATGAGCCATCATGACTCAGATCTTCGTGTCTCTCTTGGATTGGAATCTGTCACCTTGGGGCGCTGGAGGCAATCTACAAGTTTAGGTCTGCCTGCCAAAGCTGCCAGACGATTTCTGAACTGAGGCCAATGGGGGACTTGAGCTCTTTGATTCGGCAACTAACTGCTTTAGTGTCAGGGATGAGGGGACCTGTCACTTGCTAGTTTATTGCTGTCATTGATGGTAAAAGGAGATCGTAAGAATATGATCTGGATGCATTATGTTCAGTCATAACTCACCTGGAACCTTTGCATGGGACTGTTAAAGAACGGAATGCATTAGGTATGTGGTAACAGGAAATGCTCTACGGCTCTGACGACTGCTTGAGTACTGTCGAATGAAAAAGTTATGATGGTGGTACCTACCTGTATGGGTCTGTCATATTTTTACGAGCATATAGAACAATGTAAGTGATTTATGAACGCAATCATAGGAAGCTGCATCCGCAGTTTCAGAAGTGTCTTGAAAATTGTTTGTACTCAGCAAACTCAGGTATGCTTGTGGGGGCGACACTCAGCCGGCATACAAAGTGAAGCACGATGTGATGAGCTTCCTTACAAATAACCAGGGCTTATAGTATATACTGTAAAAAATGTTAACTAATTTCCTAGTTATCCGGCCACTTTTCACTAACAAAATAAGAATAGACTTCAATTTTTACTAACCAAATGCGAGTAGACTTTTCGCATTTCGCATTTTGTCAGTAAAAAGTGGCCAGATAAGAAGAAAATTAGTAAACATTTTTAGGTAGGCATATTCTTAGCTATATGAGTGAAGGCTACCCATAGATAAATTCTTTAGTCGCTTTCGGTATGCGACATTTCATTTTGCGAGGCATTTCTGAGGCTCGCGTCTGAATAACATTTCCCAAAAATTAAAACAATATGTTTTCGCATTTTGAGCATTACGGACCCCGTCATTGACAGGTAGGATGCTACCCGTGGGGCGTGGATGCTACAATGTCATTTCCCCAATGTTCATCTCCACCGTCCCTAGCTCTAGCCCGCGCCCCGCTGGGCTATTCAGCCATACGCGCCCTGCTGGGGGGGGGGGGGGCAGATTCTGCCCCCCCTGTCTAACTTCCGAACCGATGGTCGTAGAAAGACGGGGAAAACGGCAATCGAAAGCTCTCAACAAGGCGGATCTTAAGAGCCCAATTTTTTTTGCTTAAGTAGGTCAGAGGTCAGGTCAAGGTCAGGTCAAGGGTACAAAATGCAAGTTTCTACAGTATCGGCCTTGCGCCGTAGTTGCCGAAGAATGGACTGAGACTGATTGCCCAAAACGTGTTCTTAGACTACCAAGACAATATACGTTGCACACAATGTCATTCAAAGGTCAAGGTCAAGGTCAGGTCAGGTCAGGTCAGGTCACCAAAAACAAAATATAGAAAAGGGCATGGGCGACACATGTTTTATGGGTCATTTTACTCATGGAATTCAATAGGCACACTCAATAAGTGATATGGACCACCTCTGGATGAATTTCAGGTCGAGGTCAGGTCAAGGTC